AACAAATGCTGGTTTCCTGGGTGAAAGTCCAGTTTCTGATCCATCCATCCATCCATCCACCCCAACTGCCTCCTTACTTACTTACTTTTCTGTTGTTTGTACAATGGCCTACTTTTAGCATTGAACTATGACAGTAAAGGCTGCCATGTGCGTTGGTACCAGATGCCAAAAGACAGGACAAAGCGTAGATATTTGATGCCCTGTGAATGAGAACAGACTGGTTGAGGACATTTTCATCAGAAGCATATGCAGGGTGAGAGTACAAAACCTGCCAACAAGATGCTTGACAAAGGATGGGGCTCCATAAAACCCAAAAAGAAAACAGTATTACAAACCTTGTGTAGATAATTCAGTTTTTCCAGACTCTCATTAAAGTGGAATCTGCTACCTGCTCAAATCTACAGCTGGTGCAAGCAGGGTAACAGGAATACAGGGATAGGAGGCGGATGCCTGCTGGCAGAGCTGATGCAGTAGTTTAATATACAAAAAGAGGTAAAAAGGCCTACTGGGAGGTGAGGCAGGCAGGCAAGGGTCAAAACCAGAGAGCAGTCCAAGAAAAGCAAAAAAATCAAGTAATCAAGGCAGTAATCCAACATCGAAAAGACAAAAGGTCAAAACACAGGCAGAAACAGGGACCCAAGACACTAGAACACAGCAAAATAACATTACTATCATAACTATCAATCTGACAAAGACCGAGTGGGATGGTCCGGTTAAGTATCTGCAGGGCTGATGAGGGAAAGTGAGAGAGTTGGCGGAATAGGCCAGGTAACTGCAGAGCAGATGAGGGAAGTGAGAACAGGTGTAGTTAAGAACATTCGAGATGACTGTGGTTGACTTTTGCTGATTTGATAATCAAACATGAGCTGCTGGCGACTGCAGGGGTGGGGTATAAAAACTTTTTATTTATTTATATTTATATTTATGTTCATGTGTACTGTAAGCACCAATTTATACCAAGGCAAATTCCTTGTATGTGAAAATGTACCTGGCAATAAACACGATTCTGATTCTGATTCTGCCGTCAAATAGGACACGTTCTTCTTTCCGGAGAGTGCATTAGCTAAGAACAATAACTGATCTCAGAGCATTTGCAAAGGCAATGCCACAAGATCAGTCAAAATGTGGTTCGAACTTTGTACAGCCGGAGAAACTGCGGTCGCCAGACTCAGGGACAGCAGTCACCTTGCTCACATAAGGTTTTAATGTCATGTGACATGGTGACGTTTTACAGAATTTCTAGCCAGCATTCCTCACATTAAAGGTTCAGTGTGTAATATTTAGGAGGATCTATTGACAGAAACATAACTATGTTTTCAGTGCTGTATAAAGACCTTACATAATGAACTGTTAAGTTTTTTTTGTTACCTTAGAATAAGCCATTTATATCTACATATAGTGCAAGTCCCCTTATGCGGATGTCACCTTGTTGGGCTGCAATGTTTCTATCATAGCCCAAACGCACAAACTGCTCTACGGAATGCGTTTCGTCACTACATTGAATACGTACGAAAAACAAGTACAAGTTGTAGTAGTAGTAGTAGTAGTCGGCTGGTTTATTAGAAGTAAGAAGAGAAGTGAAATTTGGACAAATGAGGGCCACACGTATTATTTAGGACAAAAAATGACAGAGCGTGTGGGCCACCGTAGCTCCTCTTGCTCGCTCGCAAAGAGAGGGTTAGCAGTGACTGATGGTGCATTGATGTGGTGTCGCAATAATCAGATTTCTTTTTTTCCTCCTTAAATATGTATTGTAAAAAATGGAATAAAGTGTACATGGGAAATAAAGAAGTGTACAGAATAGTATAGAAATATATACAGAACAGTATACAAATATATACAGAACAGTATGCAAATAAGAATGCGCAAATAATAAAAACTTTGCCAGGGGTAGTCTATATTATATAAAGATATTAAAAGAGGCATATATGTTGACAGTTTTCACAGTCCACAGTAAATTGATACAATGTACAACATCATGGAGAAAAAGTACAAAGTTAGGTTTTTTACTGCTGAATTTCCAATTGCCGTTAGAATTAATAGTACTTAGTACTTACACGCTGAACCTTTAAGCCAGAGCTGCGAAGCACCGCATGAGGGAAAGTCCAAGGGCATCTGCTGGATTAGTGGAGAATGACAAGGAATGTGTTTAAGGAAGTGGGAATGAGGCTAGAGGGAGGGACAGAGGCAAACTATGACAATAACACGGAAAAACAAGGTCTTAAAATCCTGAAATCCAGAGAGAGCCAGTGAGAACCATTATACCAGCATGATGGGGATGCAACACGGTGGCATTGAGTTCACTAAGGGACAGGAAGCAGCACGTGAAGATGGTAAAACATGTCTCTGATTCCAGGACCGTCAGCACCGGTTCACCTCAAGGCTGCGTTCTTTCCCCTCTGCTCTTCCTGTACACCAACAACTGCACCTCCAGTCACCAGTCCGTCAAGCTCCTGAAGTTTGCGGATGACACCACCCTCATTGGGCTCATCTCTGGTGGGGATGAGTCCGCCTACAGGTGGGAGATCGACCATCTGGTGACCTGGTGCATCTAGAACAGTCTGGAGCTTAATGCTCTGAAGATAGTTGTGATGGTCGTGGACCTCAGAAAGAACCCAGCCCCACCCTCCCCCATCATCCTGAGTGACTCCGCCATCGCCACTGTGGACTCCTTCTGCTTCCTGGGCACCATCATCTCCCAGGACCTCAGGTGGGAGCTGAACATCACCTCCATCATCAAAAAGGCCCAGCAGAGGATGTACTTCCTGCAGCAGCTGAAGAAGTTCAGCCTGCCAAAGACAATGATGGTGTACTTCTACACCACCATCATTGAGTCCATCCTCACCTCCTCCATCACCATCTGGTACGCTGCTGCCACTGCCAGGGACAAGGGCAGGCAGCAGCGTATCATTCGCTCTGCAGAGAAGGTGATTGGCTGCAATCTTCCATCACTGCAGGACCTGTACGCCTCCAGGACTCTGAAGCGAGCAGGAAAGACTGTAGCTGAACCCTCCCACCCTGGACACAAACTGTTTCAGACTCTCCCCTCTGGCAAGAGGCTGCGGCCCATTAGGACCAAAACCTCTTGCCACAAAAACAGTTTCTTCCCGCAGCTAGCCTCATTAACAAGGCCCAGGTCCCCTACTGACACTCCCCCCTTTCAAATAATACAAATGTCTCTGCACATGTAAATACTATTTCATTTCATTTCATGCACAAACCTGGCATATTTTACATATTCATTGTTAGTTGTTATTCGTTAATATATAATAGTAATAATAATAATAATAATCTTTCTATATTTTTTATTTTGTCAATTTATATATTTATGTACACAGCATCCTCTTCCATTGAAATATGTCTGTACAAAACAAACCCGGAATAATGTACATGTAAATATGCCACATTGTTCTTTATCTGCAAATAGTTGTATTATTTTTCTCTATTTATCTGTTTATTCCACATTTATGTATTTCTACATTTATTTATGTCAACTGTATGTTTGTCTACGCGTAGCACCTTATCACCAAAGCAAATTCCTTGTACGTGTAAAACACTACTTCGCAATAAAGCTCCTTCTGATTCTGATTCTGTTTCCAGGGCTTTCCATTTAGTCTGGGAGCTGATACAACTGATTACACTCAATCACGCTGGGGGTTGTTTGGTGATGTAAGAGGGTTGCGAGCCTCCAGTTTATACCCACTGTTGTATTATACAGGGCTGACAGTGGATTAGGTGTTGAAAGCTCAGGCCCTAACACTCTCTCTCATCCTCACCAACCAGAGAAATGCGGATTCACTCCATGCTTTTAGCTGGTTAACAAGATACATCTGTGTCATGACAGTGAATGCAGTTTAGAGCTTGAGGTAGGTAGCAATACAAGCATGGCATCTTGCTGAGCACACCATTTCACTTTAACCCCCCTGATGTGTTCCTGTGCCTGTAGCAAATTCTCACAGAGAATTGTTTTTCACAATTTCTGTTGGTTCAGCTGCCATTAATTTGCTCTAAAAGTTCAACTTAAAGTAAAGAAAAAATAGAAATCAAATCAAGAAATGTATATTATTACTTTCATGATGGTCAAACACAGACAACAACATGCACCTGCAGCCACTGAAAAACACACTTTTTTCTTCCTTTAAATAATAAAAAATAAATAAAAGTTGTTTTACCTGTAACCACACCCAATAGTGATGTCACTGTGGACACTGTGGAGTATGCTTCTACATCACTGCAGCAAGGTGATAAACCTTAAACCACTGGAGGTGAACTGCTGCTTTGTTGCTCTTGAGAGATTTTTTTAAAGCCTCTCTCCTACTCAAACTTACAGGTCATGTTTTCTAATATTTGATTAGATCTGTCTACCAGCCCATCTGTCTGGGCTTTGATCAATACTGTTCCTGATTTAATGGACACCCAAAGCTTGTGTTCAGGCAGTCTGCGTAGCTGGTGGATGAACTTTAGTTTCATTCTATTTTGCAATTTAAATAGAGAGTTTAAGTGTTATTATTCTGCAACAGCTGACGCCCCAACCTACAGCTACTGATCTTAATCATGTGCGTTCTTCACATTGACCAACATGAGCCTCCACAAGCAACAAGTTTTAATAGATTATAGACATAGTCCATCAAAGCCTGATGACCTGAGACCCTCAGTAGGTGGACAAATAAATATCAGTATCTTTAAATTGTAATGCAATCAAATGCAACACTCATGCAATACATACTACAGGTGTAACTTTATTCTTTTGTGCAATGCAATTATAATCTAGGTGTTTATATTAATTGTCCATTTAGGCTAATAAACAAACAGTATCTATCTATTTATTTATCTATCTATCTACCTATCTATAGATCACATTTTCATATTACTGCGAAATCACTTTCCCACATCTCTCTCTCGGGCTGAGCGGAGAATCACGATCTGATTGGCTGAGGAGCGCACCAGCTCTGAGTAAAGCAAAGGATGCCCGAGTGCCGAGGCAGTGCATGGACTGATGCAGGCAGGGGACGACGGCGAGACAGGGCACTCGTTGTTGTTATGATGATGTTTTACAGTTCAGAGTAGCCTTGAAACTTTAAAACATAATTTTACTGAGGGCATAAGTATCTTGGCACATCTCGCTGCAAGTTAAGGGTAATGATTTGGCTGCATGTTGTTAAAATCCCTCTCACCACCACCGACACATCCTCCCAAGACGAGTGATGGGTTCTAAGTTGACCAGACAGAGAAGTCTGGATTTGGAAAGCAAATTGTCCAAAAGAAGACGCCAGAGAAATGACACCTCGGGAGAAAGCGAGAGAACTGGCGCCAGGGGCGGCGGAGACTTGTTGTTTACCTCCTTGATGCTCAAGTCAGACAAGCTCCCGGGGATGCTGCGGAAAACCAACCACAGCCCATATGTCAGACGGGTGGCTTGGATTAGGGAAATCCAGAGGCTTCTCCGGGAGCAGAAGAAGGAGCAAGCCGCTGAAGTGCTCAAACTGCTGAGAAAGGTAAAGAACTGGCATCATTTTGGGTGATTAATGTGCTGAGTTTGTCAGAATGCACTTTATTCTTACTTGAGACATTGTTATTAATGGACGAAACGTTTAATTGGCGCTATTGTGTTGTATTTATGAACACGTGGGCAAAAAGTTTGTTTACATTCATTGGTTAAAAGGCATTTTATTTTTATCTGCATGTCATATATATATATATATATATATATATATATATATATAAAAACAAATGTGTTAATAATGTGACAAAAACTAAGTAACTGTTTTCTAATAATTTTTACTGGTAGCTCAACACTGACAAAGTTTTACAATATTCAACATTTTCCGATTTTCTCATGTAATATTAACTTTAATATCACAAGTTAGAATAATGTAAAACTCCTCAAAAAGAAGACACATAGCTGCTAACGGTTACTTCATAAGTTAATAATAAACACTTAAGTATTCAGAAGTGTCCACAGAATGACTGTATTGCAGCTTAAAAAACAGCTACATGTGTTTTCTTGTAGGTTAGCTGTCCAGCTCACAGAGTAACTGCAGATTTCTATGAAGTGGACGAAACACATGCACATGTAAACCAGATAGACTTTCAGATAGACCTTAATTGTGGCATAGATAGATAGGCATAATTATGGCTTTGACTCAGGGTAGAACGGTCGTCCCCTTAAAGGAAGGTTGGGAACCCGAAATTGCTCCTGGTGGCTGTGCCATCAGTGTGTGAATGAGTTAATTTTCTGTTTCTGATGAGCAGTTGGGTCTCTGCTCATAGGTGGGTGAATGTGATGTAGTGTAAAGCACTTTGAGTGGTCGAAAAGACTAGAAAGGTGCTATACAAATATAGCCCATTTACCATATGTGACAGTTCATTCGGAATTGGGGGCGAAACCGGAAAATGTTCAGACTGTGGAAAGCTCTGAGAGCCTAAATGTGTACGTCCGCACTGCGCTCCAACAAATAGAAGCGACAGCTGCAGAAGAAGCTCTTGTTAAGTGACCTCTCTTGAAGTGTCCTTCTTTACTGTACCAGAAAATAACTGGTAGGTGGTGCTAAAAATTAGAATAATTAAGATTAACATGACACACAGCACTGTCACCTCACAGCAAGAGGTCACTGCTGGGATTGGCTCCAGCCCCTTCGCGACCCTGCACAGAGTTAACTATACTACTGACTACAGCTGCAATAGTGCTAACCCAAAAATATTATTCTGATTACACAGTATTTAAACCAAATAATAACACAAATCAAAATATGAAAAAGAACAGTTAAATTATATAAAAAATTATAACAATACTTACATTGAGTGGCACACTAATATATATATATATGTGTGTGTGTGTAGATGCTTAAATAATGCAACAGCAGTTTATTCAGTTGTGTCCTTATTTTATAAATCTGATATGTGTTGGCCATGCCTGCTGTATATATAACAGAACATCCATTAAAAAAGCCCAGCTAGACCACACACATGGGAGGAAATCCCACTTTTCATGGAGCACTTGTATCAGCAGGTGTCAGTGTGTTAATAATTTTAGTTAAGTCATATAATGATCTGCTGTTTACAACTGCTCATAAATGTTTCCCAGTAAGCAAGCCTTACTGATGTAAAGGGTTTCACACTGCACTCTGTCACCTTCTTTTAACATTCATGGGGGGGGGGGAAGAAGCACTTATAATGAGGTTAATGCCTCATTGGGTTGGACGCTGGTCTGAATCAACCACCTGTTTTGTCTGAAAGGAAATGGCTGCTGAAGCCAGCTAGTTCATGTTCTGAATATTCAATCAGCTCTGAACATCACAGAACACTGAATGAATTATATGTTAGCCCTTTGAAACACACCAAAATCAATTAAGGAAGACTTGGTCAGATTAATTAATATCACTTCAATTTTTTTATTGTGACAAACTTTGTGATCTTAAGGGAATATTTGGTATATTTATTTTTTAGCAAATTATATATTAGCCTGTAGACTGTTGGCATCAAGGCCTTTTTCAGGGTTAAGGAAAATCTAAAGTAAATACTGTAAGCAAGCCATATCTTTTTCTGATCACTTGAGTGAAGGAGGTTTGAAATATACAAAATAAGAGAGAATGTTAAATATACAATACAGAAGAAGCAGTTAATGTTCAGATGTGGCATTGTTAAATTGCTCTAATCTGTCCCTGTTGCACAGTGTTGTGCAAACACTTTATTCTTGTCAGTCAAGTAAGGTATGTTTATTTCTTACATTTAAGAAATAAAAACACTTTCCCAGGTAACACATTCCCCGGTCTAATCCTCACTTTCTGAAGATATATCCAAACTAGAGAGAAGTAAGGAGAAATTGTTTTTAGAGCTCAGCATGAGCTTTCCACTGCCTTCTGGTAGCTGTGCATTGATCAAAGAGGAACAGTTTGGAAGTTCAGACAAAAGCAGTTTTGATCAAGAGGGCCCCCTGTCACAAAAACGTCTTGCCCATCTGTACAGATGTGTGCTGATTAAAGCAGGAGACAATGCTGAGGAGAAGCTATGGGTGTTTGAACTGAAAACAGATTTATAGGTATCTCTTCTATTCTGCACAGAAACCATTAATTGAGTAATTAATAGGTGTGGGGTGAATTTAAGCATCACTGTAGCTTCATATTTGTGTGAAGCAGGAGGGATATATGACTCATGCATATCTCCCTCTAAGACTTAAATGTGTCTGACCTTGTTTATTAAAGCAGTCCTGCAGTCAGTTATAAGAACATAAGATTTTAAAGATCAACATGTACATTTGCTGGTCGTGAGCAGGGGCAGCTTTCTCCACAGCTCTGCATTTAAATTGCTCACCAAGCACGAATACTCTCTCCATCGCTCCCTGAGGTGAAGCCAGCGCACTGCTACTGTTGTATGTTGTTGGGGCTGAAGCCAAGTGTCTGACTAACAATACTTCAACACTGGAGTTAAAAAATGGCAGCAGATCTCCTGTTGTTGTTCTCCAACAGCAAAGCAGCTCTCAGAGACGGATGGATCCGGAGATAATCACCTTGAGATGATGGATGCTGGAGCACGTTTCTTTCACATAGAGGAAGTCATTACGAAAAGGAACCAATAACACTGGCCCCCACGCTGTATCTCCATCGCAGATCTGCCTTCTGGGCCATTAAGTTAATTAGGTTGGGATCTTCTGGAAATTCATTAGTAAACAAAGAATCAGCAAATACTCATATCAGTTATGCTCTACAACATGCACACTGGGTAACCAATGTGCAGCGATGGAGAAGACACTAATTAAGGTATTCTCTGTAGTGTATGACGACCTTTTTTAAATCTAAGGTTAGCTGTCACAACACACATATTTTATTTGGTGATTTTATTCAACTTAATACCTCAACACAAAACTCAATAATTCATAATGAGGGTAGAAATATGTATGTTTTGCCAGCTCCATTGTTGCATGTCCTCACTCTCTTTTGCTTTTCCCACGTTTCCTGTCTGTCTCTCCGGATGTTAGCGAATAAAGGCAAAATGCCCAAAAAATAAATAAGTAAATGTTTGTCACAGAGCCACATTAACGGAGTAGTTTGATATTTTGGAAAACACTGCTTCCTTGCCGCGAGTTATGTGGAAAGATTCATACCACAATCATGTCTGAATGGGAAATACGAAGCTTCTGCCAGCAGCCTGTTAGATGAGGTTTGCATAAAGACTAGAAACAAGTGGAAACAGCTAACATGGCTCTTTTTAAAGGAACAAAATCCACCTACCAGTACCTCTAAATAAAAACTTAAAAACATGTTACACATTGTTTGTTTGATCTATACAAAAACCAAAGTGTAGAAATTATGAGTTTTGTTGTAGCTACTACTTAGCTGGACTCTACTGGTTGTCTGGCAAGTCACGGTGATGACAGTACACCAGGAATTTGTTTTTACTGGTTGATTTTTGAGTTGTTGAGTCTGAACAAACAAGATATAACATTTTAATTTGTAAGCTTTAGAGGTGCTGGGTGGTGCATTTTTCTTACCCTTGGACAGAGCCAGGCTGGCTGTTTCCAGTCTTTATGCTAAGCTGAACTAACCTTCCTCTGACAGTAGCTTCTTGCTAACTATAAAGACATGAGAGTAGATCATCTAATTCTCAGCAAAAACGTATTTCCCAAAATGAATGCATAAAATCTACGCATTCCTCCCAGAAACTGAGAACATTTGAAAATGTGAGAACATTTTTTCAAAGGTCAAAAAGGTTCATGTGGTCTGTAGCTTCAGCATGTTATGTAAATTCATGTACTCAGTGTTTATATGTCCATTTGTATGTCAAAGAGTGAACATTGGAGACTCAATTTGTAGTGAATTCATATTATTTTCAAATAATTATATTTCAATAAAATACTGATTTATTTAGATTGGAAAATTGGGTAGAAGTACAAAATGCTTAGAAAGTTCCCCTTTATTTTAGGAACAGATTGCTAATGCGACTGTAGCAATGTTAAAAGACATGTGAACAAAATGCACAGTGTACATGTTAGAGTGTATAAGAAGAAACTATTTGTTATATGTCCAGCCACATATGACTAAGCTGACAAATTAACCTCATCCTGCCAAAGCATTGTTGCTCCTGGCTAAGCATTTGTGTCTTTGAATCTTCAGGAAAACAGATTTTAAATACTCTTTCATGTGACAACCACGCAGTTTTGACTTTATACCTTGAATTTTGAGATGACTGCATAAAAGGTCACAACATTTTGTCAATCCAGTAAAGAACATTTAATTCAGTCCAAGAAAACTGGAGTTGGAAGGTCCATCACCTGACAGCTGTGACATGTTTCTTACACTGAAGCAGAAAACTGTGGGACTGGATTTGTCACACTGTGCAATATATTTAATTGGATTCTAATCAACTGCATGTGTGGGATGATGTTTTTCGGAGCTCATCTCTTTATTCAGACTTTATTTGTGACGAGGCAAACGTCAGATTAGATATGCAGCTTTCACAAGGACATTTGTAGAGGCATCTGAAGGCACGCAGGCACCCTTTCAGTGACAAATAGGAAAACATTTCATGCTTTTATGATTAGGAATCAGTCAAAATAATCCACAGGATCAGATCTCTGTGTGTATTTTAAAAAATGTGCTTCGTTTCAGCTGTGACTCCCCCACAAAGCTGAACAAAAACACATCATATCTGATGCTGCTGCTACTTAACACAACATCATCATAAAGTAATCTTCAAATTCTTCCGTGCCTCCATTTATAGACAAATGTGGTACCCTCAGTCTGCACTAAATGAGGTTTATCAAAGGGGGAGCTGGCCTGGAGGATAGTCCAGAGTCAGGGAATCCCACAGAACTCCGCTGTAATAAATCAACCTAAAAGCTGAAGGAGGAGAAAATGCTGATGGGAGATTTCCTCTTTGCGTCCACGGTGCCCCAAAGTGTTAGGGCTGTCAGAGAGCATTGAGCGTGTTTTGCATAGCTTCAACCTCTAGCCTGCTATTTGAAAAGCTTTTCAGCTCAAATAGAGCTGACAGTATTTACTCTTCAGCTCCACAGCTTCTTGTACAGTTTTACATGATATAAAACACACGTCGCTATAAACAAGCGAATGATGGTCCAGTGAAACATGTTTGCTCTGTTTTCATACAGCAGGAGCACTTATGTCACTGATCCTACTATCTATACTGAACAGTATGTGTGAGGAGAGGAAATGCTCTTTCAACAGTTATGTATTAGAAGCTGTATGCCTAAAAAGAGTTTCCTTTGACTTACTTTTCTCTCACTCCCAACCTTTCATCTTCTCATCATTTTTTGTTTCATCTGCTCAGTTTTCGTGTCTTCTGTTTGGTGTTTATATTTTTTCTTGTGTGCGTTGGTATCTTCCCTGAAAAGGCGGTGGATGCCACACGCTGCTGAGATCATTTGATGTGTCTGAAAATGTTACGTCTCAAACACCGACTGCTAATGACGCGTCCGCACACGAAGCACTACCTGAAGATGTGTTGTCACTGCCGATAGAATACAGCCTGAAGATGGCACAAATATCATCAGCCCCTGGGCATGTTTCTTTGTTCCGGGTTTTATTAAACTGTTCTGCACAAAAACACATTATTTAATGAATTCTGAAGATTGGAGATAGAAAGAGGAAGTACATTTAAGTATTTCCCTAAGAATGTTTAGAGCTGTGTTTTGTGAAAAAGTCCCGTGGGCAAAACTACAACTGAAACCAGTGAAAGAGATAAGAGGGACCAGAAGGAGTGTTATTCTCTTCACCAGAGAGTATGACTGTAATATTGTCAGAATAAAAGACCACACCACTTTTATCTAAGCTTACTTAAACTTGAAGCCCAGCTCCCCTCACACACATATCCTCACCCATAATCAACTGCGCTGGGTGTTAACACATGGCTCCAGTGGCAAAACCTTATCAGCTCTCAGCGTGATAAGAGGACAAGATGAAAGTGGGTGATCTATTTTCATTAAACTATCCTTGAAATGTCACTTGCATATTGAATTAATCTTAGCTCAGATGTAGCTGTTTTAATCAAATTCATTTCTTAATTTCTACACGATGTGTTAATTTTAGTAAGAGTTAACCGAATCTCTTTCCTCTCTCTTCTTTTCTCATAGGATATGGGACTCCAGGGAACGTCACTCAATGAAATTTTGTACAAAAACGCAGCTTTTCTTAACCTGGTGGATCCTATCTCTCACGAGCTGCTGCTCAGTCTCGCCCGGGATCTGCAGTGTCCAAAAAGGGTAAGGAGTACAGAATGATCCAGTTTATTTCAACTGTTACATTCATTAATTATGAAGAAGCAGTTCTTGCTTCAAAACATTACAGGCTTCACATTAATTAACAGGACAAGAACTGGAGAGGCAAGCTGCAACGTGTCCGCATTTATTAGCCATGCCTAAGTGCATGTGCCATATTTGTTGTCATGCTATAGTGACAATAATGAACTGTCATTTGCTTTGTACAAACACAAATACAGAAGCTAGAAGGCATGGAAAATGCAATTTTAAAGTGTTTAGCATCTATTTGCATAATAGATCACTATGTATGCCTTGATGACTGTAAAATGTGTTCAATATGAGGTGACATATTACACTGCTTAAAAAAATTAAAGGAACATTTAAATCACACATCAGATCTCGATGAACAAAATATTTCAAAATTCAAAATCTTTACTGTACATTGTATAATTTGTTGAGAACAAAATGACATAACAATGCTCAACCGACTTAGGGCGGTATTCAAAATCTTGTTTGACTTTTATCACGGCAACTCATAATGTGACTCAGTAGTGTGTATGGACCCCACATACCTACATGCACCCCCAACAATGTTTGGGCATGGTCCTGATGAGGCGGCGGATGGTGTCCAGGGGGATCTCCTCCCAGACTTGGATCAGGATATCAGTGAGCTCCTGGACAGTCTGTGGTACCACTTGGCATCGCCGGACGCACTGATACATAACATCCCAGAGGTTCTCAATTGAATTCAAGTCGGTGGAAAATGAGAGCCAGTCAGTGGCATCAATGCCTTCATCATCCAGGAACTGCCTACACACTCTTGCAACACGAGGCCGGGCACTGTCCTGCACCAGGAGGAACCCAGGACCCAGTGCACCAGCATAAGGTCTGACAGTGGCTCTGAGGATTTCATCCTGGTACTTAACAGCAGTCAGGGTACCATAGGCTAGCACATGGAGGTCTGTGTGACCCTCCAAGGGTATGTCTCCCCAGACCATCGCCAAACCGGTCATACTGGATGATGTTGCTGGCAGCATAATGTTCACCATGGCGTCTCCAAACTCTTCCACATTTGTCAGCACTGCCTCATGCTACCAGTAGTGACAAGGACACTAGTGGAAGACTAGAGAACAGTTAGTCAGTCAGGATAAGCAGAGCAATTGTCTTTGGCCACCCCCTGCAAAACTATTCCCTTTTGGGGGTTTTCTTGCTGATGCCTCTCCAGTGCACCTCTTATCACTTTCATTTGCACTAAAACAGGTGACACTAGGTGCTTTTTTTCCCTCATTATTACACCAATATGCCGGCTTGATGTGCTGTATGAAAGGTACTGAGCCGGAAAGGGGGGTCCGATTTGATCCGTCTCTGAGCCGGGAATGTTGGTAGTAACAGAGGCGGAATGATGTCTGTGTGAAAAGTCACAGCCGCCATGCCAGAACAGGAGTGACATTTCAACACTGTTGTGTTACAAGTCACGGCCTTTTTTTTACCTGTGAAAGTCCACTGACTCCGTCTGCGCCACAGTTTTGTTACATCCTCAGCCCGGCGTCAGTATCCGCTAGAAGTGTCTCAGCATTGACTCGTTGTTAATTTGTTATTTTTGTGCTTTTACTACCTTCTTCACAGCTCTCTGTGACCCTATCTTGTTCTGTCGCCTGCAGGCTGCATATCCACAGGAAGCATTTCAGAATCAGAGCATTTTTTCTTGCCCGATTTTAGACATGTTTAGATTTTATTGATTTGTTAATCAGTGCTTGCTTTTGGGATTCTACTATGATTAAGTAGGCTATGTAGTTAAATCGTTTCTTTTTGGTTTGTTTTAACAGTGTTTATTGTTGTTTTACGACCGGTAACCTGCACAGGGTGTTTTATTTTGAAAATTGACCGGGTGAGCTCAGGCAGCCTTGGCGTAGGTGGACTCAAGGTAACCCGGAAAGCTGGAACGCTATGTGAAAGCATACATGGTTGGGGGTTTATCTCGCAATATTTTGTTCAGTATGAATGAGCAAATGCAGAATATTAGTTTATGGCGGGAATGTGGCTACTGATTCACAATCGCTTATGCTTCCTAGCTGGACAGATTGATATCCTTGTAGTTTAACTGACTTGATGTTTTACAGTGATAATTAGGTGTTCCCTTAATTTTTGGGATAGTGTATTATGTAGGGATCCTTAATCTTATTCACAGATTCAGCATAAGTGATAAGTGGGAAGATGATTAGCACAGCAGAACATTTTAACATTGATCTTTTCTTTAAAGAAAATAAATTTACAGCTACGGTCATTGGGGACAAATTTTGGAAATAGGCTTTCTTGCTGAGATGGATGAGAAGATTGACACCACTCATGTCTGTACAATAAATATAAAGTTGCTGCCAACAGACTGGGGCAACAGCTGGCCTGTCTCTGTCCAGTGGTCCACCTACCAGCACCTCTAAAGCTCACTAATTAATTTTTTACAGCTTGTTTGCTTAATCCGTATAAAAACTGAAATGTAAAAAAACAGATGTTTTGGTTGTGGATATGGGAACTATTTCTTGCACAGTCGCAGTTGACATCTTGGAAAGTTTCTCCTATGACTTATTTTACATGAGGGAAAGCTCCACTTGGAGGACAATGTGGAGGGTTAATGAGAATTACCCCTGACATTACACCTGCATGCAGTAGGGTGGCTGGAGACGTTTGGGATGAATGGTAGGGCCAAAGAGAGGCACTGGGTCACGGTTAGACTCTACAGTGACACTATGTGGTCTGTCTTCGCTGCTGCTCATGTGCTCTTTCAGCACAGTGGCAAATGGACAGCAGCTGTGCTCCAGGACCTGCAGGTGTATGAGATTATCTGGCTTGGTTGTTTCTTACTGGAAAGCGTGGGCAGCTGCCGGTGGCCACAGTCAATGGCACAGAGGCTTCGGGGGCAGCGTGGCTTTGACACTTACAATGAGTGCACTTTGAGGGCTCTGACAGGTGGCAGGTGGCCAGAGGGATCAAACCGGAGAAGCTGGGGGGGCAGGGGTCAGAAAAGGTGGAGAAAATTTTACTTTCGCTGAAAGAAGAGGTAGTCTGACTTTCTTGAGAGCACAGAGGTGGGTCTGTTTTTCCTTATCCTAAATTTTATTTCATACTCTCTTTACAACACAGTTAAAAGTTACATCAAATTCATTTGTGCCATGGGTCATAATGATGCACCTCTGTATCATGGCTTTGTTAATGTGCACATTGATGGCACACATTAGGAGTTCCATCACGGTATTAAAGTCTAAATTGCGGTAAACAATTAAACAAGTTGTTCCACGTTGTTAAATTGTTAGAGACTGTCCTCCCAACATGGTTTCAGCAAGTGCCCCAAACTGACGATCTATGACAAAGCTCACTAGTAGCTGAAGTAATAATGAGGGGAGCAAAAAAGGAAGTCAGGTGATAATATTATCAAAACATCACTTCGTCGTCCTCCCCGTTTTTTATGTCATTCTAGAGGGCAACTGCGAATTTTGTCATTTAATTAGGACATGCTGTGAGTCAAGAGGAAGCCCTTGTGTTTTTTACAGTCCAGCTGAGCCAGATACATTTTATAGAGGAGACACACCACCAGAATCCTGAATGCAACTCTATGGGGAAAGCCCGTAATGCCAAAGATGGCGGTTGTCCCGCCCCTCTCGCTAGAAAGCCAATCTTCTGCTTTTAACAGCCGAGGCGGGAAACAGCCAATTGTGTGGTTCCACTGGCGTAAGGGTCCGTTATTCTTCTACTGTGCATGCGTGGTAGTGGTGACATGTGTAGTAGTATAACCAGTGGGGGAAAACACTTTTTAAACCTTATTTTGGGGCAAATTTGTCAAACTTTTTCAGCGATTTCTATTAGATTTTACTGGTGATTCTATTCATGTAGCTTTTATGTCCTGGCGACCTGTAAAAGTGCAGTTCTGGCTCTCTCCCCATTCATTCAGATAGGAGCCTGGTCTTGTTAGTCCGAAATAGCTGCCTGGAGGGGTTGCCAAAATGGCTGCCAAGTGGCATGACTTGCCTATAAGGACTTTGGCTGCGCACACCACCCCAATATATTTTGTACAAAAGTTACACGCCAAGGGTGTTCAAACACTGTAATTCAAAACAATGTAATCTGCTGTCAATCTCCAGTTTACTGTTAGGTAAAGACTAATGTTAGACATTTGAGTGTAAATTATTAATGCTGGTTGATGCTGTAAAAGGTTTGTTTAAACCAGGCAGCCTACATCTTCAGTGGATGAACTCAATGCACAACATGTGTGTTTTTCATCATGTGAGCAAACTCTTCAAATATGCATATGAATTAACTTCAGATTTATATGGTCAATAAAATTATGGACTGGTCCTTTAAGATATAAATTGTGATTTATTCACACCAGGAGAAAGCTCATTCACTTGTAGCATGGCATACAGGAGGAGGTATTAAAATTCAAATTACATTTCAAACTCTGGCATGAGGGTGAAGACACTACACAAGCAGCTCTGAGTGGCTGTAAAACACAGACCCAGCAGCCATCACCGTTATCTAACGTCTGCAGTTAACTCTTGTAAGAAAATGGGGGCGCCTTAAGATAACATCGCTGTGGTCTAGTTTTTACTTACCGAGTCCAGATGATAATCACCTGCAAAAAACTCTATTCTTAAGGCTGTTTGCTTTGGCGAGGAAAGCCCAGGAGGAAGGGAGGGAAAGTGAGGAGCTGGCAGCAATGTTCTCCTGACTGGCTGGCGACCCGTGGCAGGATACTGTGTCTGACGTGACGAGGATGTAGAGAGGCAATGTGCTGGATTTAAGGCCAGGCAGCTGCTACTACAGCCTGTATTTTCCACCACAGAGATTTATTTAGATGATATATTCAAGGACATATTGAGGGCTAAAAGATACATCTTTTGTGAGTGTTTTCAAGCTCATGGTCATCAGTTACATACAGTTCATTTAATGTATGTTTTGATGCACTCCCTGTGATTTACGTCTAAATATGCTTATAGAGTTACTGTACTGTATATTTAGCGACTTTGTTGATTCTTCTGGACCACAGATTCACATTTTCTAAGAATTCTTTCACATTGTGAATCAGTATGCGCTGCTGTAACACAGTGTTCAGTCATCCAAGTGGCTGAAACAGCAGCACTGAATGTTTTGAAGTATGAGGCATGTTTGTTTGTCGCCCAAGAAAAGAAGTGGCAGCAGGAATTGCTAATCGCCTTAAGGTAAATTGCCCTTGTCTTTTTTTTCTCTCTCGCCACATTGCCTCTTTCTTGTTGTCGTGTTGTACCATTAATTAGATTTACCCTGCTCAGCACAACCCATTCCATTTAAAGTATTTGACGGAGGAGGGAGAGGCAAAAAGGGAAAATAAATTAATGTTTCAATGCTGAAAATGTTTGATGCAGCTTTATTCAAAGGACAAGAAAGAAATACTTTAAGACTCTGGGAAATTCAGTATGTCAGTTGTTTGTGGGAAGATAGAAAGGGAGATCAGGCATCTAGCATTTATAAATTACTTTACCTTGTAGATATCTAACCTTTTGAAAACAGTGTGTGATGGCTTAGCTGCATTTATTCATGAACAGCTACCGTTTGTTTGTCGCATGAACCAGATTGAAATTTGTTGCCCACCATTCGTCCTTTGTGTGTGTGTCGCAGGAGACTGACTCGTTCAAGTCCACCAACAAGATCTGCCGCCAGCTCATTTACCACCTGACCCCTCACTCCAAGTGGACGAGACAGAGCGTTCCCAGGAGGAAGACTCAGGCCTGGTGAGTGTGTCCTCTCTGCTCCTGCCTGACACTGTGCCATCACTCTGAAGATAGACAGTCCTTACCACGGCAAACACACACTCAAAACAAGCCTTAGTGCAACCTCCTCTCTGAAATACCAGTCTCACTTGGCAGAAGTCCTCTGCCAGTTTTTGGGGGAGATTTTCCCCCAGTATTTCAAGGTTACATCCTTGATAGTGTGTTGAAGGTTACAATGATTACCACCTTTTGCAGGATTTTTTCGCCATAGAAAAGTGTGGATAATTAATCATAAAACTTTTATTATGTAATTGTTAGATTATACGATAATATTTTTTTCAGTAGAACAGCAATTCCTCATTAATGTACGGTATCTTTGAGGTGGAAAACAGCACAACACCAACCGTACAGAATATTTGATCCTCTGTTTTAAAGCATTTCATCAGTTTTATGTCTGAGATGTTATAATGGAGAGACCATCTTTATAGTGCTGAACTGAGTTTATAACTGATGCAGTGGCAGAGAGGAAAATATCCATTGCATGCAGAAATTTCGGTGGGTTTTCAGCTTCAGTTGTATGAAAAACTAGAGGATTGCTCATGGACAGTAGTAACATCTCACCTGAAAAGCTGAACTGTAAACTGACACTGTATTTATCTTCAAAAAGAAATTGGGAGAAGCTACTGCAGATGAGGTGTTGATACAGTTATATTACTATAATAATGTTAATTTATGGTCTGATTATGCGTATGACAGTTGCATGGAGGCATTAATGAGGGTTGGAGAGGATATCTTTGCTTCAGTATCTGTACACACAGAGCACACGCGGGCTTCCCAGATTCCCAGGATTGAGCAGGTATGTTTCCTGGGAAACAGAAGCTGATTTTAGTGAGAGTACCAGGATGTGACTGGAAACACATTATTGATCTCAACCAAATTCAGCCTCACTTTCATTGGTTAATTAAAGGTGAGATAAATCTTGCCACGCCCCCAAGGAAAATACTGCTGGAAGACAATTTTTAAAAAAGCAGACTGTGTTGATTAAAATATGTAATTCACTTGTGATACATTGTGGATATGCTTCTAAATTCTTTGCCCTTAATAGGCTTGTTTGTGCATTGTTTTAAAAATAAATGTAGGCAGGTTCACGTCACTGTGGAGTATTGCCCCTGTGGCTGCCTGGGTTTTCCCTCTGCTTTCTTCACACAGTCTAAAGATATGTATGTTAGGTTAAATAAGTAAATTGCCTATAGGTATGAATGTGAGCATGAATGTCTGTCAGTCTATAAATAACTGAAGGATAAGCGAGTATAGTTGGGTGGATGTATACATTTTACTTTTCTCTATTTCACCTATTTTATTATTTATTGCTTCATATTACATCAGATTTTGTCCTGCCTACTTTAGAACTGGCGTAGTCAGGTTAAAATTGAGGGGCATCAAATCCTCAACCTGTGTTGTCTTGAAAGGGAGAGGCTTCCACTTTCACACTTGTCTCTCCACTTGCTCTCAGCACACTTGTTTCCCCCCTGACACTATTGTAACAAAAACAGCCTCACACCAGCTTAAACACCAGGCTAGAAGTGTGATGTGTTTATTGAGATTTTACCACTCCAGAGTGTTACGTTATCCCACAGCATAGAGACGTGTACTACCAAACTATCTCCAAGAATGATCTGGGGACTCCTGAAACAAGACCCTAATAAGAAACAAGGTCCATGCCTGAGCAGTCTGAGCCATTTGAATTTGGACAAACTGCAGGCCATCAGAGGTCAGAGACTGATTCTCCTTGGTTGAGTGAAATTATGAAAAGGCGACAGAAGGACACTGATTGCAGCGACCGCAGAAGTGCTGTGTAAACAAATACAAATGCTCCAACCATAGACTGTATATGGCTCCAACTCAAATTAAGTAACAGGTAGTCCTACATTTGGGGAGATGTTATGAAAAAAACATCTCATAATGATGATCAAGAGGCTCCCTCTCCCTGAGCAATTAACCCAGATTGAAAGATGTTTTTTTGACAGCTTGAGTTAACTCCCCGCCCCAGTCTCTTGGTTGCAATATTTTTGAAATAACACTCAACAGAACAACAAGGCAGACTCTCCCAGTGTGCTCATTAGCAAGCGTTGTATCCCTCACAGCCTCTTCTGCAGCCATCCAGACAGCAGCACTTACTGTGGGATTCAAACCAGATTGTTTCTTTTCTCTGTGAATACGACACACTGAAATGAGTAGAAATTAATCTTTGGATGAAGTGAAGCTTTACAACACAGTTTACTTGCTTTCAAATGCTTTTCTGTTATTGATCTTTTTATTATAGCAAAAATCCTTTCTTTCTCTATTTCCCTCTCCTTCTTAGTCTGTCTCCTCTCTCACTTTTTACCTTTCACCACCCCCCCGTCCCTCGATTTCTTCTATTTTAAAATCTCTTCCTTGCATTGATTTTCTTCCTCTCCTTCTTTTCCTGTGGGATTTTTCTCTCCTCCTTGTGAGAGTCCATTTTGTTCAACAGTTGCCTCACAGAGCGGTTCTGCAGTTTGAGCTGAGGCTCTGGGGAAACGCTCTCTCAGATGGAGAGAAAAGGGGGGGTGGGATTACTGCAAGGTTGCCGATTAGAAGTCATGTATTTCCCTCTTTCTTACTGCCTCGCTTTGAATCGATTGCAAATTTGATCTCTTCATATTTAGGAATGAAAACACATTAGCTATCATGTAACCCATATTGCAGTCTTAGATTCATATTTTTTTTCAAATCATATTGAAAAGTCTATTTGATCAATCTAGAAATGTGCTGCCGCCTGCTCTCCCTCCATGGCTCAAACTGAATTATTTGAAAGTAAAATATAAGAGATAATACATACATCATGATTCAAGCTTTATTACTCCAGCCTGCTTTGCTTTTATAACGCTGTAACTGCAAATCAAGTGTGCCACAGTTATACACTAACACAATATATTATCAAGGCAATTTCATTTTTTTCTCTGCAGCACAATGTGCCAGGTTTCTAAGAAGTACAGTATTGCTGAGTCCCCAGAGGAGTTTTTAATGTTGTTGTAATTGGTATTGAATTTCAGATTAATCAAGCTCATATTTTATAATACGCTAAAATTGCCCTTCCAGCACATTTGGAAGAGATTGGACTCCAATTGCAGATGCTTTTTCATTGCTTGTCTTTACTGCAAGACAGTAATTGATGTGATGCTCTTATAGGAGCTTTTACAGACATCTTCAGTACATTTAAAGAAATGAGTGTGGTTCAAGAAGACGACTGAATTCTTGTATTCAGCTTTAAGCTTTACATAGTGAAGACATGTTAAGTATTGAAGGAAATCTATGTGCATCTGGCACTTTAGCCTTATTTGAGTCAGCATAGAATACACTGTTTTGCAGAATATCTCACGGGGGTTCAGTTATGTGCCTACATTCAGTCGTGCGGGTCGTGCCGACTGATGATAAGAGTGAAAGGAGTCGTGGCTATGACAGCTGTTTGGACAGGTGTAATCAGGGTGTGGGTGAGCTGGCTGAGTCCTGATATTTGACCCAGACCTCACACTGCTCAGATTAAAGTGCAATTCCCGCTCACAACTCACACTGCCAAGGCTGTCCAAAAGTGATTACATTGATTTTATTTATCTTCATATAAGGCTTGATAGTTACTGAACACGGGGTTGTAGTAACAAACAGTTGTAGTAACAAACAGTACGTTACCAGCTTGTTTCTTTAGTCTGCATACATATCTGTCAATCAGTGTTAGTGCATTGAAAAAACAAACACAGATAACACAGATAACAGTCAGAGATGGCCTTTGTTACAGTTACTGTTATGCTGATCTCAGAGTCAGTAATAACATCTGGTAATATTTAACTTCAAGAACGTGTTTGTAAACAGATCATATTTAATTTTGCACAGTTACACAACAGCAGTATTCTCAACAATGATGAAACACTTGACCCCATGTCTTTAATTTAAACAGTTTAATCATGTCTTGTTTTTATTATCTTCATTTCACAAACAATGATAAACTAAACTGTTATGAAAGAAGGATTATGGGAGTGATTGAGTCAAAGAGTGTTCTGCAGTCTGTCATTCTTGAAGTTCAAAAGTGCAAAGACTGGTCTTCTGACCACAGTCTTACTCTTCTTGAATTTTGCCTGATTCTGCTGCACTCCAACTTGATTTCTCATCAGACCTCTGCTCCATCCCAGCTCCCTCCTTCTACCTCTCCTTTCCATCAGCAGTGACAGCCACAATGACCCCTGCTTAGACTGCTAAAGGCATCAGTATTCTTTAAACGCGCAGCATGTGAAACACCCACCGCCTGCCTGCTAGCAAGAAAGCCATGACACCCAATTGGTTGCAACCAAACCCCCCAACAAAGAACAACTTTGCAGTAGTCAACAAAATAATCTGTAAATAAATTGATCTTTATCTTAAGACTACAGTATGGTCAATATGTGAACTAGTGGAAAAATGTCATACATACAGTAGGCCTTGCTCCACAGTAAAATAACCACATAGTTCATTTTAGCCACACAATGTTACGACTCATGTTTACATTCATTGTGGCAGCGGCCTCTAGTGGCCATACAACACAAATACATTGCGATGAGATCCCCCTGAGCCCCTAACCCTACCCTAACCTTTACAGGGTGTGTGCCTAGACCTAAGTCAGTGATTGTATGTATGTTCACCTTCTTTGCGTCGCTGCGGTCTACTTGTGTTAATGTCATGTGACTTAGGTCACCTGATTTCCAAAATGCAAGTCCGGTCGGGAAACAGAGTTTGAAATTTCCATTTCGAGAGGCATGGATAAACGCCACCGGTAAGGGCGCTATTGTAGGAAACACTCATGAGTTGTATTTGGAGGTTTGTTAAAACGACCTCGTTTAGGTTGGCAGACTTGTTTTTATCTGCCTATAAGATAAGATCCTCCCAAAAAATTATGTGCTGTCATCCCCATTTACGATCGTGTCTCACCGCTACCTTTGATTGTAAGATTTTTTGAGCGGATTTGAAAC